GGTTCCTGACCGTCGCCGATTGACCGCCGTTCTCGAGATAATGAACGGGCCTCAGTTGGCTCCTTTTACGGGGGGGCCGTCGCGTTTTCCCGCCACGACGCTCGACGTCGATTTGCCGAGCGAATTAATTTGATTAATGCGGAACGAAACGCGCAGATCTTTTACTTGTGAAGTATGTTGAATTCCCGAGGAGAAATTTTGATGTTATTTTGACAGTTTTTAAAGGTTTTCGAAAGGATTTAGATTTTTAAATAAACATGTCACTGGCACGCATCGAATAAATATCTCTTATTTTTCAGATATTTTTTCCCTCCATGTATTATACTTCACACAAACCCACTCTAAAAACATTTTGCAAAATACGGATGCATATGGCGCGCGTGATGATTCATTTTAACAATCGGTATTTCACCGATACGCCGATAACAACAGCCAAAGCGACGGTTGGTTTGGCTGCGCTTACGCGGCGAGCACGCGATTTGCTTTTCTAGCGCCGAAATAAATCCGGGCGCTTTCCGCCGCGGCGAATTATCGGCAGCCGGGGAAAAGAGCGGAGCGATCGGACGAGGGACGGGAGTACGGCGCGGAAAGGCTTATCGAGCCCTTTGATACGCGTGGCTATCGGCGATCGAGAATACGAGATCAAAGCCGACGGCATCGCCAAGGTTATATCGTCCAAATGTCGCGGTAGCGACGAGGCTTCGGATGAATATTTCAGGCCCTCTCCCGCCCGTCATCGCCGGCGGATAGCTTTCGGATGTCGTTCCCGCAAAGAGCATTTGCGCGATCTATTAGCGCGTCTGGGACTCTCGGGGATGAAACCCTTTTGTCGCTCGTGCGAGGTGCTTAAGCGGTTGGTTAAGCCAGAGACGAGGGTGCAACGCTCGCGTGCCTAACTCGCTCGCACGAGTTCCGCTCTCGTGATCATCGTCATCATCGGCGATAGCCGATAACGCCTGATCCCTTGTTATAACATAATCGCGCAAACTGCCTGCTTTTTGATAGGAGACCGACCGAGCAGGCCTGGCAGGAAATTATTTCCCGAAGAGAGAGAGAAAAAGAGGCGCACACGCGGATGTATACCTACGTCGATGGCGCGCGCGGCTCCGACGCGGGTTCGGCCGGGCGTTCGAGGCCACATTGTACCTACCACGGTATTCGGCGGGCCTACAAAAACACTCGAGCTGTTGCGACAGCCGCCCATAACCGTGTCTCTGTTTCGGATCGCTCGAGCGCCATTGTCCGTCCGAGACAGTTCCTAATCATAACATACGCTCGCCTCGAGAGCGCCATGATGCCTCTCACCTTGAGCCCTTAATAACTACGAAAATATGTGTTACAATAACTCCGCGAAATTCGACGCGTGGTCGCGAACAACGCTCCCTGCTAATATCTGAGAACATCTCGAGGTAGCACGCGTGAACGCGACGCGGAAAGTTTCATCCTTCCGTTGCGAAGGACGCATTTACACACGTATACGCGTTATTAATTTTGAGCATGTGTGGCGGAAACATTAAAGGATGTTCGCGTCGCAGGATGGAGTCGTGAGATATGAAAAATTGTCCCGCACGGCGAAAGAAATGCTGTTGGATGAATAGAATTGGTCAACAGCGCCATAATCGGAGTAAATCTTTTTAATTCAATAGCAACCTTGTTGATATCAATAACTACTATGTATAATATCTATATAAGTAATAGTTATCAGTTGTAAATTAAAATAATTAATAAACTAATGCATCATACATTGTCTTAATAACTCGAGAATTAGTTTCAACAATATCGCTATTGAATCAAGAAGACTCCAATTATGCCGCCGTTGACCAATTCTATTGATACAACAGCACTTTTTGTACGTGCAGGCGTCGATCATGCCCGTATGAGTGTCTATGCAAATCAATGTGACGCGAAACAAGAGAGGGAGAGGGTTTATCGTGAAAAAAGACTGATATCGCGAACATCTCGATAGCTCGATAGCCATCGAGATGCCCGGCGACATCGATACTATCGGACAGCTGGCGCGTGGCACGGCTATCCGCAACAATACTCGTCGCCGAAGTCGATAACAAAAGGGTTCCCCCCGTTTTCTCGATCCGACTACGGAAAGCAAAAGGGCTGCGTGAGTCGCATGGCGAACGGTCACGTGAACACCCGGACGATAACCGCCGTAACTGAAGATTCTTCATATTGTAGTACTTAGACACGATGATAAGGTGATAAGGTAATTGCTATAAGAGCTTTCGCACACAAATTGCCGCGATCGTAAAAGTGAAACGTAAACTTAGGCTGAAGAACCAATAAGAATGTTACCTTAGGATTGTTCTATCTTGAAGGAGATAAAAGTAGCTGCGCGGGAAAAAATTAGCATCAATTCAAAATTCATATTTGTTATACATAAGTAAGAATATAGGCTACCGAAACCGTAGTCGACGGATAGAGCAGCATTTAATTGACTAAACAAAACAAAAAGAGCAGAGATTTTTTTTTATCATGATTGGTTAATTAAATGCTACTCTGAAAATTAAATATGTTTAGACGAAGAAAAATTCGATACAGTTTCGCTAAAAGTATTATATTCTTGTTATTCAAGAATAATTTTTATGAACATTTTTATGAAACGTTTGCGGCGACTGATGTGCGCAAGATCTAATATCCAACCTAGTCTTCTCTCTCTCTCTCTCTCTCAGATTCCGAGGTGACGAGTGACGAATCCTGATAAAAAAAAAACGTGATACGTCTCCGCGGTTTTCGATTTGGCAAAGGATGCCCGCAGGATTCATGCGAAGGCGCTCGCACCCCGCGGCCCTGTGTTTTCGCACAACGGCGACGGGGAGGGCAGGCAGGTAGAGAGGCTGCTGTACGTAGGAAGCGGATTGGATTAGGATTTGGAAGAAAGGCCGAAGGGGTGGGCCGACCCAATTTGCATGGCATAAACCACGTCGATCCTCGGGATTCAATTTAACGGCAGAGGCGGAAGGCGCGCGGCGCTGCTCTCGTCGATGTAACCAATACAGATCGCTGCTCTCTTTCTGCGGCCTCGCCGGCGCTCGGACGCGCGCACTCGTTATTACGCGGATTACTCAAACCGCGAGGCCTCTTCGAAACTCGCCTTTTCGTCTCGAGGGAAACTTCAGCATTTTGCTTTCGGAAATCTTTCTCGAATGGCTATTTCGTGTTTTGCCAGGAGACGCGTCTCTCGACGGCCCGATTTTTTTTCACCCTTCGCGCGTTTCTGACTTTCAGACGATCTTTTTCTTCGCGGAGAAAGAGATCCTCCAAGAGAGGACCTTCCAGAGAAGGAAACATGGACAAGTTACGGGTGACGATTTACCAAACATCGGTTTCGCTTCCGCAAGACAGATGTACGAACATGTGTCTCGCCGTGAGGCGCTAAATGCACCCTGGATTTATTCGGTTTGTCATCGGATCCACCGCACCGTGAAACTGCACGCTTATTTCTCGTATTACACCCACGTACTGTTGGGTAATCATCGCGTAATAGCCGAATAATAATTCCGACATCGACATCGGGGGAGCCGCCGAAGCGGTCCCGTAAGAATGAGGCAGACTGCCCGGAGGCAAGGGGACCAATATGGGCACCTTAAACGTACGCTCGCGCTTACAGAAAGAGTAGGAGGGAGGGAAAGAGATAGACGGATAGACAGAGAGAGAAAGAGAGGGGAGAGAGAGAGAGCAGGCCACCGTAAAGCCCCCGTATCTAACCCTACTGCGATGTTTATTATTCACTTAGAATGCTCACGTTCTACTTGTTCCCCGCAGAGCTCGATCCGAGATCGGCTTATCCCTTGAACGACGCGAATAAACGCCGAATGAGAATGTCGGATAAGTGTTGACGTTCCTTTTTGTAACTGACCAACAGCGCTTGTGTCGAGACTATCGTTGATGAAATTAACAGCGGGAGACTCGTAACAACCCCTTCTGCTACGCGAATGGGCCGCCCCTCGTCTCGTTACTCCGCGAACTCTCGCGTCTTTCTCGACTTTCTGATTTTTCGTTCGCTTGTTCGTGTAGGTTTCTTGACTTTTAGACCGGTATCAATGGTCGTTACTTGAAACCTGTCTTAAATCAGATACCCAGATGTAAATCTTTTAGTTGTATCGAGATTACAAATATGACGTCACATATATGATTCGATTAAAGAAACTCAAATCTAACTCTAATTTTAGATCTGAATATTTTGCACCTGCGACAAGTTTCAAGTGACAATTATTAATTACGGGTTTTAATGTAGTTAGTTATCTGAACGGCTTTGCCTGAGAGAGACGTCGCGTTACGCTTGAAGAGATCATAAGTGAGAAACGCACGATCGTTACAGCGAGTGTGTATTAACGCAATCTTCCGTAATAACTATCTTTTCATTAGCGTAAATACTTTTCTCTCGGGAGCCTGGTCGTTATGAATAATTCCCTTGCGACATATCGGCCGATCACGTCGAACGCGATATATGTTACGATATTAATTCATTCCGCCTGATTTAATCCGCCCACACCGGCTAAATGACGAGTACAATGATGACGTTTGCGCCGGGGACTAGAGATTAATGGTATATATTTGTCTCTATTTGTCTATATTTAGTTTAAAGTTATATTCAAACTATATTCGTACAGCTGGCAAGTTATTTAGTTAGCACGTATCATATTTAGTTATGGTAGTTGCTGCAATAAATTATTAGTTCATCGGACCGCTTGTTGCGGAAACAGTACAAGTGATTTTGATTCCTCCGCATTTCTTATTTTCGCATTATATAAGTACGATAATCGAATTGCCGATTTCTTCTTAAAATCGAGATTTCGCTTTCCAAATAAGCAACTCGGCAACTTATTAGTTACTGGTATCATTCAGAGAGTTATTAATAATTAATAAAGTGAATATCTCAATTATATATACCATCTTTTAGCGTTCGATCGTTCGCAAAAATGTTGGAAATTCTTTTCCGAAGTAGCTAATATATCACGTAAATGTATCACTCACCGTAAACGATGGGAAAACCACAATCTCGGCGGGAGTAATCGCTGTAACCAGAAAAACCACGATGCGACGTGATGGATACGGCTGACGTCAGCCGAACGGTTTTGCTTGTTGACCCGCGACTCCGGCTCATAGTTGCACCATTCGCCACATTCTGAAAAAGTAAGTCATGATATATCGACATTGATACGATTGTCGCGCAAAGTGTAGGCAATTGTCACCAATTGGGACGCTATAATACGATACAATACGGTGTAACATTGATCGGTCGTGCGGCTGATCGTTTCGATCGTTCGCGGATAACCCTCGTGGCGCGATTTTGGCCAGAACGGATTTTCTCCAGCTCGTGCCTCCGCGACGCCTCCCCCGTGAGATTTCGACAGATACGACGAGACGACGGAGAGAGTGACGCGGCCATGAAATCGTTCATTGCAAAGTGCGGTTAATGACTGTTTTGACAGAGGCCGGCGCTCGACGGGCCCGGCGCGAGGGTCCCATTGTCACCGGGACGTTGCAGATTGGAATCAATATTTACACTCAAGCCCGTGTAAGCCGCGGATTAGCGTAGGCTCAGGCTGCTCCCACCAACCCTTTCCCGATTGAGTCAGTACCTGTCGTCTCTCGTGAAAGAGAGGATCGACGTTCCACCGGGAGAGCGGGAGCACAATTCCGCGCATATCTCCTCGACAGAGAGGAGAGGCTTTTCAGAAAAGTGCAACGGTCTCTCGTACTCAACTCTCGAAAGCCCTTTCACACGCTTAAGTAAACACACGTAAACACCCACACGTGTGTACGACTCGACTCCGATTGATTGCGACTTTACCGCTCGTTGCCGAGCTTCTCCGCTCTCGCCGTTTGCTACTCGTTGTTATAATAATGAGCAACAACGGCGAATTATTATTCTCGTTTCCGATCTCTCTTTATTATTCGTGTCTTCTCTTTTTCTTCCTCTCGTTTGTCTGTATTATTTAGTTATATTATACGTTTAACGAGAATGCCCTCCTGATTAAGTTACTCACTTTTACCTAACGTTTGGCTCTTATTGACCTGTTTGAAAATTAAATTTGATTTGTTTTCTTTTCCAGATTTCTCGATTTTTCGCTAGCGAAATCTATCCATTCATCTAGCGGACTTCTAATCCTAGCCCAGGTTCCTCCACCACGTGGTGGCCCGGTACCCTATTCCTGTGTGCACGTTTTCGCGACTTCACGGTCCTTTCGGCGATTTCACGCTTACAACGGGGCGCACAAGGGTGCCTTCAGGGGCGTGACTGCTCGATAGGTATTTAGTTAAGGGTGCGCATTGAGGAACGACAATACACACCGGCGTTCATCATTGTGCGACCGTCCAGGCATAGTTCGGACGACGATCACAACGACGATAGAGAAGAGAGCTCGCACGAGCCTAGCCAGCGGCATGAATAATTCGCAATTGGATTATCCTAAGCTATCTGGGAATCTGCAACCCGAGTAGTTTCACTCGGCATGCTCGGCCGATTGAGTGAAGATCTTGCGCGATTATGTGCAAAAATGTGCAAAAATAGTAATAAAAATCTATCGCGAGATATGTCGCTTTATTACGTGCAATTCGGACGTGAACGTGCGAAGTAACTTATTGGAATTGCGAACGGGGCAATCGCGAAGAGAATATTGGAGTTTTGATCATGCGAGGATTATTAGTAACCCGAGCCCCCCGACGTAATGATAGGGTAGCCGAAAAAGGGAACGGTTATTGTTATCGTAGAGAATATTCCAAATGCTCGAACTTCGGCAAGTGATCGTGCGTCGCTAATGTAACGACCGAGAACGTTCGTAGCTTATATCGTATTATACCTGACGTATCTCTTGTAATTATTTTATTACTATGCGAGTTGAAGTGTTTGACATTCACTTTTTATTATCCACTTTGTTCGAATAAGTTTTGGACAAAATTCCTGTCTTATCTCGTAATCCACCTGCTAGTCAACGATCAGGAAGAACATTGAAAGAAAGACAACACCTTAAATCTATAAGATACCTGTGATTGATTTGAAGTCTGTCTCGCTCAAGTTTTTATCTGTTTACTGGTATAATTCAACGTCAGCTTAGATGAACTTTGATTTTTCAATAGTAGACGGAAGTTCTGCCAACTGACTGATCCTCTTGTTGCTGAGAAATAAAGATTCGTCGATTAAGCTTACTAGAAAATAAAAGTTTCTTATTTTAAAGTTTAGACGCATTGTATATGCAATAATTGAAACGTTCTTGTATCGGCCATTTAGTGCTACAAACTTGGAAATAAGTAGATGAATAACCTATTTGAATTCTAACCTATTCTACTGACCAGTATCATTTGAAAATAAAACTCCTTCCGCTCCCACCATTCAGATACATGTTTAAAAATGACGAATCCACTACCGTAGGGTTTCACATAATTTTATTCGAAAATAAGGGAAATCTTTGCAATACTTACTGCGGAACGTACTGTTTGAAGAAACGGTAGATCCCTCCATGTTGTAACTGGAACTTCGCTTTCCCGTTGGGAACCAAGTGGCGACACATAGCGGAGGTGTCGGAACTGTACTTAACAGCGCTTCGGACGTTTTAAATCGTCGCGGGTGTGCCAGTTTCAGAATCAACAAAACGGACTATCTCCTGTTAAGAGGCTTCTCCAGCGATCCACCGTTCCGAACAGGATTCGGGGAACAAGGAGTTATTAGAAGATATTACTTACCATCTGACGACATCGTGGATAACAATCGATGCAAACCGCATGATAAAACGCAAACTTCCACTGTTGTACCGACCTTCGGTTTGCTGTAATCAGGAGTGAAAATTATTTAGCCAGGATTCGAACCTTTTTCAGGCGAGATTCAAATCAGTTTGTGTACCTAATGACGATCACTCAGTTCTTTAGTTCCAAAGTTTTCGCTGCGAGGCGTTACAGTCTCGGCAAATGGAAGCAGTGATACGCCTGAACGAACAGGTACAACGAATCTTTATTTACAAATAGTACGACGAGCCAAACAAATCTTTCGTTAACGAACAGCTGGAATCAATGACGAGTTGAGCTGACCTCTTTATTTAGCGTTAAACATAGCTTTCGAAGATACAATATCCCTGACGCGTTTCCTCGTTCGCGTGGAAACACATCGTTTGTAACTTCACATTCAGGTAAGACCGATACATATTAGAACTGCAATTATCGGAAGATACGTGCTGATTCAGTCGGAAGGGCGTTAATATTTCATCCCCATCAGGGAGGGATAGTCGCGTGCATTGTTTGTTTTCCTCGAATCACACGAAGAACGCGCCGTTTACACGCCTGTTCGGCGGGCGTCTCGCAGATGACCGCATAATAAAACCATTATTAAGATATTTAACATCGCATTGCGCGCGCGCGCCCACCAGCCACGTGAGCTGAGGTATCGCCGCGCATTCGCGGCGAACAAAAGCGCCGGCCGATCTCTTTATAGTTATGCCGGGGCACGTGCCCGACATAATTCACCATTGATGGTTATATTCCATTGTGGACCGAGCCCATTATGGCCCGTACGTGCGCGAGCCCCGAACAAAACGTCGAAATGGTAAATACGTAGCCCCGCGCGCCCCGCCGCTGACAACTATTTTCCCAAGATATTTCCCGCGCGTTACATTGTCGTCGCGTATATATATATATATATATATATATATACCGCGCTCGCCGACGATTTGTATCGCCTAATCCCCCGATCGATCTCGCGTCACGCCGCGCGAATTAATCAACGACGCGTCGGCTGGTGCGACGATGTACCACCACGAGCGAAAATAAATCCCTTCGCCGAAATCGCGAATTCGCGGAAGCCCGCGCGAAGTTTTACCCCGCGCGATTGATGAAATGTAATCTAAAGTCTAATTTAATCTAATTTCGTTAATGCACGCGTGCACGGTAAAAAATTTTGTGCAAATAACGGTCCACTAAAATTTTGGTGTCACTTTAACAACGTGAATATGTTAGAAAATAATGTGTCAGCAAAGTGAACATGTTAATTTAACATGTATTTGTGTACTTTTTAATATATTTCCGTGTTAAAGTAACACAAACATTTTCAATGGGTCGTTATTTACGCAAAGTTTTTCACTGTGTAATTACACACACACACACACACACACACACATATGCATCGCATTATCACATTCGTGTAACTTTATCTGTTATTTTTAAACCCTTTTTGGGGGAGGGGGTCTTCGTCTACTTATCCATTAATTCTTACATCGCTATTAATTGCGAACACGCGTGCGTATAAACAACGGGAGATAATCGTGGGACACGTGTCGGCGGAAACAAAAATCCTTAAAACGCGATGACGCGTTTGTTTACGGTCTCTGGAGAACTCCGGTGCTCTCGAGTTCGAGTATTCGCAAGGGTGAAAAGGGTGAAAAGGGTCAGCGCTATGGGGATACAAGGGGGTTGGGCACGAAAAGGAGTTTGTTGTTACAGTTAACACTTGTCCGGGGGTAGTTTCGTTTGAGACCGTCAACCCTCTCTCTTTTACGTAATTTACTGAGAATTGAGTGAAAAGTGTGAATAGCAAAATTGATGATAATTATGAATGGCTTTAGACGATTGTGTGTGTGTGTATGTGTGTGTCTTCATATGTGAAATTTCGTAATTAGTCGGAGGTAAATCTTAATTTTAATTTAAATTCTGTAAACATTTCCGCTATGTTTTTAATTTTTTAGGCGAACAAAATTCGCAAAATGTTATTTATGAAAATAAGTACACATCCCGAATTACCTGTTTCAAAACTTCATAATGGCATTGCAAGGATTAGAATATATATATTGGTCTGATATTTGCGATAAGCCCTTTTCTCTCTCTCTCTCTCTCTCTCTCTCTCTCTCTCTCTCTCTCTCTCTTTCTCCATCTCTCTCTTTCTCTCTGTCTCTCTGAAAACAAAAAAAATATTCGACCACAAAATGTTGCCAAATTGTGATATGGACCGGTCGTTACCAAACGACGAGAATAATTTCAACCACAAAAGGTTAATAAACTCTATTGACTAGATTTCATTGGACGCCAGCTTGTTTTACAGATTGACTCGTTGGATTAAAATAATGTCACGTAGCCTCAAAACGATCGATTCGCGTACAACGTTACATCACCGTGTGCGAAGTTTAGATATTTGAAGAAATTTTTTTCTTCGACTGGAATTATCTGGGAAGATATTTAAGAGACATCGTGAAAGACACACGCGAGAAACATACATATATATATCGAATATCGGGAAAATATACCATTCTTAAAAGTAATTAACGAAACAATTATTTTTTTCTTTTTTGAAACGTTCCTTAGCCTGACAAAATAATTCGGATTGCTACATAGACCAGGAGATCGTGATTTAAATTTGTGAACTAAAGTTTTGTATCTTCTATATCTATCAATTCCCTCCTCTCGTTTCTCCGGCAGGAGCCGCGCGCGACCGACTCGTCTCGGCGCGATCGCCGAAGAAGAAAAATAATCGGGAATCGATTTCGCGGGGAGAGTGCTGACCACGAAGAAACCCGTTGCCGATTGCTTCGGGATTGTTTCAGATTGCTATTCGAGTGGCAAACACGTTCGCTACGGAATAACGGAAATGGAACACGATGGGGCGGATTCGTCCGACGGAGGATACGCGAAAGCGGGTGGTATAAGGGAGGAAGGAAGAGAGAAGGGGCAAAGGTGGGTGGCTGGGTGGATGGGGTGCGCGAGGGGGGTTGTAATCTGTATTATCCGTCGACTATTAGTGTCGAGAGGATCGAGGGTGCACGGATTACAGTTATTACAACAGATACGAGGAATAACATTATGCGTGACGCTTCCCGCGTCTACTTTCGGCTAGATGGCCTGGCGGTCTCCCCTTTAAATGAACCTTAACCTGGTCTGAGGTACTAGAATTATTCATAAAAACGCACGTTCGGAACTAATTAGTCCGATCGAAGTTAATTGTACGCTTCCATCCATGTACAGTTACATTTTCGTCCGTCATGACTCTCTTCGTGTCGCCGGCTAGTGTCGATACACGAATCGATCCGTCGATATTGTCAACGTCAGTCGAACGGGAAATGAAAGTATCGATGCCTCCCTAAAAAGTGACCATCCCCAGCGGTAACGATACCTCGCAGGGGCGTGACGACACTCACGATGTACAGGGGCGCCCTTCTCCCCTTTCGAACAACAACTGTCGGCCTATTAAACTAATTGACTGCGCAGTATGCCGGCGGCCGCAACGTTGCGTTCGGGAATCGCGTCGCGTTGACTTACAGGCGCGTCGTCGTTCTCTCTCTCCCCTCCCCTCCCCCCGCCTCCATCCCTTTCGCATTACACACGCACGTTGCGTGTCGCAACGGAAACCTCGGCGCGTCGATTACGACCCTCGCGCGAAATTTTGCACGCATCGTCACCCCCGAACGGGCCGATGTCGCGCCTCGAGGCCGACGCTCGTTATGCAAATAGCAAACATGGTTCCGCACGGTGGTGCGCGCTGCCAAGTGCGGCTTCATCCGCGCGCACCCTCGAATCGCACCGCTCGGAGCACGTCGGGCGACCATCCGAATCTAGAGTCATTTCTTTGTTTCGGATCGGTTGGCAGAAATGGAGAAAGCCGATGCGGCTGTGAAACGACGGAAATTCGCGTGAACCCGCGTGCGTGTGAGGAAAGATCGATCGCGCGTTTACGAAGAAGGGTCGTTCGTTAAACACGGTGACCACGGGACACACGCACACACATACATGTATGCACGTAACATGTATTCGAAAGCGAAACAGCGATCGGCGGCGAGATAGTTAATATCGCTTTGAATACGTCGATCACCGATCTCGCAAATGCCGCAATTGTCGAGAGAAGCCGCGGCAGTTTCGATTATTGTGGCCCACGCGAGGGGTTGCTGCGGAAACAACCCTCCCGCAGCCCCTGCTCTGTCGTCCCATCGCCTGCTTCCACTGCCCCCCCCCCCCCC